ATTGTGTATATTGATGTTTAAATGTTGATTTTCGTAGTTCTGTTTTTAATTATTCTGTTTTTAATAAATTTTTCGTTTTCAAAACAAAAAAGTGAGAAAGATAATTGAACCGGATTCTCAAAAGTAAAACCAGATAATTGATTTGAGTTAAACCAGCTAAATGAATCGGGTTCTTAAGAGTAAAACCAGATAATTGATTTGAATAAAATCAGCTAAATGAACCGGGTTCTCAAGAGTAAAACCAGATAATTGATTTGACTAAAACCAGCTAAATAAACCGGGTTCTCAAGAGTTGACGTCAAGTCAATGTTCGAACAAAAAAAAAGAGGTCTACTTCTCTACTTGTTGATGCAAATTCAAGTGGTCCTTGTTGTTACATCTTGATATTTGTATTATAGTATCAACGGTACAAGAATGTCCAATTTAAATAATAATATATATGTGATTTTTAAGATTGAGATTGATTGTGGAGGTAACACCTAATTTTTTTTTTATAAATCACTTTTTAAATAATATATAAGTGATTTTAAGTAAATGTTAATTCAAATGTATTTTTTATTAGTTTGATTTTGGATTTTGAATGGAATTGGATTGTGAATAAGTTAAGTGAGATGCCATGTCATATTAAATATTTGTCATGTTATTATAAATTTTTGAGATTGATTGTGGAGATGACACCTAAACATTTTTTCATATATAACTTTTTGAATAATATCTGAGAGATTTTATTTGGGATGTCATATCATAGTAAAACTTTGCAATGTCATAATAAAATTTGAGAGATTGATTGTGAAGATGACTGCTAAACATTTTTGATAAACATTTTTTCATAAACATTTTTCATAAAAATTTGTGAGATTGATTGTGAATATGACAGCTAAACTTATTTCTTAAATATTTTTCCATAAATATTTTTTCATAAATATTTTTTCATAGACATTTTTTCATATATATGTTTTCATAATAATTTGTGAGATTGATTGTGAAGATGACAGCTAAACATTTTTCATAGAATGTAATTAAATATTGTTTTTAATACAAAAGTGAAACATAAAAACGAAATTAATAATTTTTGTAAACATTTGTGAAATTTGATTGTGGAGATGACAACTATTAAAGTTTGTGAGATTGATTGTGGAGATGACATCTAAATATTTTTTATAAACATTTTTGTATAGATATTTTTTCATAAATAATGTGAGATTGATTGTGAAGATAACAGCTAATTTTTTTTTCATAAATCACTTCTTAAATAATATGTAAGGGATTTTATTTGTGATGTCATATCATAGTAAAACTTTACAATGTTATAATAAAATTTGTGAGATTGATAAAATAAAATAAATACCATATTAAACGACCACTCACTCACCTTTTTTCGCA